CCTATTGTAAAAAGAGTCACTTTTACATTTTTCTTATTAATAAAGTGAAATCTTTGATGCTCAAGATTGTTCTTATTTGTTCACAATTTCTTTTTGAGTGTTCATCACTTTGTTCATCAAATCACTATAATTTGGTTGTTATTAACTAGATTATTAGTGTTATTGAGAGATCTGGGATCAACAGTTACCGACAAGGAGACTTGTCATTTATGTTTTTCAAAACTTAACTCCCGACGGGTTGGTCACTCTTCGAAAGTGTCAAGGTGTGATGGATTCAGAGATGAACTATCAAGAACACGCCAACTCGAATGTTATCGGAATCAACTCGAAAGAGTGATTTTTAACAAAGAGATTTGTTTATCCATATATTTTGAAAACACCATCGTGTCACTATCCCTGGTCCGGACACCACATAAAGATAGGGTGGAAAGCAATAATGTAGTGCAATGGTGAAGTCCGAGAGGAATGCCTTCAAAATAAATGGTGGAACTTAGTTTCGAAACACTGCTTGCTATAGGATTCCTATAGCATTGGCTGCTGGAATTTGTGTTTGGGTCTCACCTTAAGTCTTACATCCTTGCTTCCTTTTTATATTCTGTATTCTGTTTTAATTCACCTTACAATTAAACAAAAGTCTTCAAAAGCTTCATCTGAAATCATCTCTTTCATTGGACTCTCATTTAACTTTAGCTACAATCTCCGTGGACGATAATCCGGTACTTGTACCACTTTATTACTTGGAAAGACGACGTTGGGCCGTATTGTATACTTGCTTTGTGGCCCAATTTCATTAAGTCTAAAGGTGTGAGATATCACCCGACCAAGTATTAAAGCTTTGGATATGGAAGACCGTTATTCAAAAAACGAAAGACATAGGACCAACACCACCAATCGTCAGTATTACAACTTTGATATTTTCAACACTGTTGTTGACATGTTTGGGGATCGATTTAGCGAGGTAAGCACTGAATTGCTTAAAAATATAGCAGCTTTGAGTCCACGTGATTCATTTTCGCAGTTCAATGTATCAGATTTATTGAAGTTGAGTGAGTTGTATGCTCAAGATTTTAGTCATATGGAAAGGATCGCTCTTGAGAAACAACTTAAAATGTACTATTTGATTGTGCGTCAAGATGAAAGATTTGCCGATTTGAGTGGTATTGCCGAGCTCGCTAGATTGCTAGTGGAAACAAAAAAACATGCAACTTATCCTCTAGTATATCGGTTATTGAAGTTAGCTTTGGTTTTGCTAGTTGCTACCGCAACAGTCGAAAGATGTTTTTCTGCTATGAAGATTGTGAAGTTAGATTTACGCAGCAAAATTGGTGATGAATTTTTGAATGTTACAATGATATGTACTATAGGGCACAATTGTAAGAGGTAACTTTTTATCATTTTTGTAAAGACCCAATTTTTTTTCTTAATATAATAAACATCCATATATAAGTAAGCCATAAAGTCTAAATAGTTCAGCGCAACAAAAGTTTTTTTTTATAACTAATAAAACTTAAAGGAACATTTGTCTAATCATATTCATATCAAGTCCCGCATTGTCTCCACGCCAACCCTTTATTCTGCGATAGCCGGTTCTAAAATTTCTCCTTTCCCTTGCTACTATTCTCATGTGTGAGACGACCTGGTTGCATAATTTGTTAGACCCCATAATCCATAAAGTGAAAAAGTAATGAAAAACAATAAGTGATGAAGAACCAGAAGACCGATGAAGACATCAAGGCAGAATTGGCTAAGTCTGGTGAACAACCAGAGGGCCGATGGACAACCAGGGATGCGATGGAAAGAGCATCTTCATCGCCCCTTTGGTCAACAACACTTAGAGAATTATTCAGCAATTTATACAGAGGCATACGATGAAGATTTAAAGATAAGGATGATTCATCATACCATGGAATACAGCTGGAGATGACAAGTCAACAGCTAGACTTTGAGTTTATCTTAAATACAAAAGCTTATCCATAGTTTAGATAAACATTATCTGTTAATAGAAGATTAGCTAAAAAGTCTCATTCGATAGTTATCTTCTAATTAGCTTACTAGTATAAATAGGTGATTAGGCCTATTGTACTAAATGTCTCTTTTTATGTTTTTCTTATCAATAAAGTGAAACCTTTGACGCTCAAGACTGTTCTTTATTGTCTATAATTCATTCTTGAGTGTTCATCACTTTCTCCATTAAAACACTATAATTTGGTTATTCTTAACTAGATTATTAGTGATATTGAGAGATATAGGATCAACATAATTGTTTTTGAAAGGAGTTTGGTGAGCCAAGGGCCCAGTGAATTAACGGTTTTAATGCATACAGAACGTAAAAAAAAAGATTTCACAAAGCGTCATAATTTATCATGCATACAGTTTAAACAACATACTTCACAAAGCTAGTGGCGTTAAAGGAGATGACTACCTCACCCATCATTACCTGGCGAACTCACACAGCATGTCCACACTTACGGCTTAGACAGGCTCACAAAGCATGCTTGTCTTTACGGAATCATACCGTAGTACAACTCCCATTGCCATACAACATATTTTATAAAATAAGGCACGTTTTTACGCATACATGATATTCATATATATAGAGAAAAATCCAGCAAGCTTGCATATAACTGTAAAGAAAATGTGCAACCATTTTTTAGGGAAGTCATATATAACTCACCATACAAGTCGTTGCCTAAACCGATTGGTCGGGTATATCTTACACCTTCAGACAAAAGAATTGGGCCACAAAGCAAGTATACAATATGGCTCAATATCGTCTTTCCAAGTATTAAAGTGGTACAAGTACCGGATTATCGTCCACAGAGATTGTAGCAAAAGTCTAATGAGAGTCCATTAAAAGAAAAGATTTCA